GGAACTGAAACAAATTTTGAAGGGTTTGTATGGGATGCTATCAAACTTTGATCCCTTATATCTCTATCAGGAATTGCAATTCAGAGCTAATTTTTGGGATGAGGGCATCTTTTAGGATCCTCTATAAGAATATTATATCAAATCCCATAATTTCAAAAATTTTATTTTTGTGACGTCATCACTTTAGGACTTTATTGGCTTCTGCTTTCGTTTTATAATACTGCACTAAGCGATTGGTTTAAAACTTGCCCCACTTTGTCGTCCAATCAGAAGTAAATCCAAAACCAATCGTGACTCACTTGCACACGCTTTCCCGTGTTTTGCGTGGGATACATATATTTGCTTTGAGATTTGACTGGTTCACTGGATTGTCTGTGTAATTTGTGATTGCCCTGAGTTGAAAGCCTCTCCACTTCCACGTGGTGCTGTTTATTATGTTGTACAAGGAGGTTCTAACCTCCACTGAACTAATAAAAAAATGTTATTCCTTCTGTGACTCACGAGTTCTTCACTGACTGACTCGAGCAAGTGAGAAATTTGGTTTTGGTAAAACCCTGCTTGTAAGATGATGGTCTGACTCTCACTATTCTTTTATGTTTCGTTCAAGACGTTTCGGCTGGCGCTTGAGCCTTCATCAGTTGAAATATTAATGTTATAGTACCCGGGATTCAAAAAGCAGCACGTCGAATGCACGCTTAGAAACTCGTGCCATAGGAGATCTGTAGTCAGTACCTTGCTGCGCAGGGCACAGAACATCCCATCAACACAGAAAGGGAAACGCGAAGAAATGAAACGAGTCAAGGCTGTACTGCGAAATTATCCCTCATCCTTCATCAGTAGCTGCGAAGGATCGCTGTCGAAACTCCCTACCGATCTACCATCCAATGGTTTCGTGGTGCTAGCCTATTTGCAGGACATTTCGGAAAGGGTTAGTCGAATCTTGAGGCAACAACAAATCAAAGTCGCCTTCAAACCATTGAGAACAGTGAACAGAGTTTTTTTGTTCAAAAGAAGTTCTTAATAACCTTAATTGGTAATTGGAGCTCGAGTTGTACAATTCAGGGAGTAATAACTGGTTTTCAAACGCCTCGCGAAAACAGTCTCCTTTCAGGCATGAAACTGCACTAGTTCATTTTTGTTTCATTATGTAATCAAACATATTAGTTAGTAGTAGTACTTGTTTATATATTTACAATGTTTATTTTTCTCGAAGATATTAGTTCCTTAGCTACACTACAGGCCTAGTTACACTATAAATTCGAGACAAAATAAAGTCATTTACGTATGTATGTAATCAAGCGCGATTTTGAAATTACTCGCCTGATTGGTCCAAATACTATTGCACAGTTGGGTTCGCCCTGGGTATTTTGGCTCGACTGCTCAGTCTCGCCAAAATACGAACCCGGGCTTGACCAGTCTCGCCTGATATGCTGTCGAAGCGTACCTAATACATACTATTGGGAATAATTGGTTAATAGCTATATTTCATCATAATTCTAATACATGCATACGGTGGGCTGTTGCAGCCTCTACTTGGGTTAGCAAGCAAGCTGAACCTGTCGGTTTTTAAGGGAATATAACGTCTTGTTTCATGCTGTCGGCGTAAAATAAACTTCTTGGTAGCTTTCAGGGTAGGCTCGATTACCAGCCGCTGTAGGAACGTAAACAAGACTCGAGAGAGCAGTGGAAATCGAGCCTACCTTCAGGGCAGGACGATTGTCCTAGAGGATTTTTTTTGACAACAGAGCGCGCATGTGTGGCGCTTTGCGATTAACCGCGTACCGCGTGCGAAAATAGTTTAATAATGATTCGTTATAGCTCCGTCAGTTAGACGTGTCATCCTTCATTTTCTTCTGTCGTGTGTGTAACAAGTGGTAGGGCAATTAATGTGTATTCTTATCAGCTTGTTTATTGTCCGTTATGTGTTTTTACTTCTTATGTGAGTCCATATGATGAGAGTTAGTCCCACGAGTAACACAAATCCACCCGTGCAACTTGCAGCGATGAGTGCAATCTTTTTCTTTTCTTCTGAGTCATCTTCAATATCGTCATCTTCATCATCTTCTGTTGTAATGGTGGAGAAGAAGCAAACGGTAAATAAACAAACTGCTGCTATTGCTAGAAAGTACCATGACGTATTTGACTTACTTGTTGTAGTTGGGAAGGTAGTTGGGGAGGTACTCGTTACGCTGCTGTGGAAACTGACAGTCACTACTGATGAAGGATTTACAGAGGATGTTTGTTGTTGAATTAGTGAATAATTGGACGATACTGTCATAGACATATTGACGGTCGCTGTCTGATTGGGAACACTGGTTATCGTTTGTTGAATACTGGGGGATGGCGTCAATGAAATGGATTGTCCTGTTGAACAAACAAGTAAAAAGGAAAATAGTCAATTGGGAACTATCACTGTTATCTAACAGCTGTTTCGCTGAACTTCGAATCGAGAGGCCCAGGTTCGTGCACTGTCGGGGTCATCGCGTTGTGTTCTTGGGCAAGACAGTTTAATCTCACAGTGCCTGTATCAGCAGTGCTGCCGGTGTGTAAAGTGTCTTGCCCAAGACTGGGTGACCCAGGTTTATAAACCCGGCGATGGACAAGCATCCAGGGGGGAGTAGGAAAACTCATAATCACTACATGTTCAGGAAACCGTACCGGAGATAAGGACCAGCCTGATGGGCCGCTAAGTTCAAACACAGACTCTGCCGACATAAGCGACTGAGATGTATGTGTATGTGAGAGGAAAGAAAGATAAATGAACACATGCAACCCAAATAAGAATAACAACTGGCAGGAGGTTAATAGTTCTGTCAATGTCTGTGTCAATTTCAAGCCCACTCATTCTCCGGAACATTTGACGGACATAATTGACATTTGCCCCATGGGGCAGCTGGCGCATACAAAATCCCCGTGGGGAGGGNGGGGGGGGGGGGGGGGGGGGGGGTTCGTGAGAGAAAGCTAATTCCTGGAAACAAAAATACCATCCGTTTTTATTATGAAATTGTCAGGCAATAACGTACCTTGGAAGCCGGGATTTTTTATTAAACTGACCTTCTTGGCCCTTTTGTCTCAACCAAACACCAATACCATACTCGCTTTTTGCCTCGTTTTTCTCGTACATGGAAGACCAAAATGAATTTTTGGGGGAGGTGATGGGGCATAAGCTAGTTTTCAATGGGTTAAATTTCAGAAATAGAATTTACATCTGCGTTCTTTACGTAGGGTTAATCCTTTCGATGTTTAATACAGCAAGATTTCGTTCTTTTAAAAGTACCGATTTATAATTCTTTGCATTTGACTAAATTGTCAAATGCCCCGCCCCCGGGCAGCCTATTGCGAGCAAATGTCGGTTGGTAGGGATACCAGTTAATTAAATGCTGGGAAAAGAAGGTCATAAAAACATCATAAAATCAAAGTTGAACAATAAATCAACAAGCAAGAAACTTTGTGATTTACGAACCTGCTAGAAAACTAATACAAGCTGCTAGAATAATCTCAGTTGGATAAATGACCATTTTTAGTTGCATCATCTGTTAAACTAGAATAACATATGGCGTTAATAATGGCTTGAATATCTGCTTGGAACAAAATATGAGCTGCTGTCAGGCAGATTCACTGATTATCTAACCTCGTTTACCTTAACCACGACAAAATATCCATAAACAATGGTAAATCAACAAACAAACAAACAAGAAGCAATGCCGGCGATCTTTCCGACATAAGGAACTATCGCCGGATGTGACTCAGGGTAAGTTATGACTGTAGTGTGTACAAAAAGGAAGTCGGTCCCTTCCTCTTGAGGAGGCCTTACGTTCATTCAAGTAAATAAATATCTAGCATTAAGTAAAATTAAAGTTCTCTTGTGAGGTTCAAGCTCGACAACGTACTCATTAAAATAGTCTGTAAGAATATGAAATTTGAATAACATGTAGAAAGATTTCAGTTTCTGAAGAAGAAGACAAATGTGAAATAGATAAATAATAAATGAATTTAGGTGTCGATGTGTTAAGCACTGCTGTGCTAATTGGGAACAATGAAATAAGCGAACAATTATTGAAAATTGAACAGAAACTTGTTAAAAACCCGAACTGGTGGGAGACTGAGCAGTTGGCTAATCACTAATCAAATTGTGAGTGACAATTTCTATTCTAAGAGATGGATTTTATAGAAAGGTAGAAAATATCGTTCCGACTTTGAAACACAATTATCTTCATTACAAGATATCGGTGAACCTATGACTTCTACAAATAATTACCTTAAAATACTCAATTAGCAAAATTCATTTGTTCTCTAATCACTCTGTAGTGAAACGGGAACAAATCTTTTTCACGCTAGATATAATGAACGCAGACAACAATCAGGAATAGGCATCTCGTTCATTGATAGCTACACGGGCAAAGGACAGGAATAATCGCTTCACAAATCAGCGAGGACGCAAAGCTACTTACAAGCTCTCAAATATCTACAATAATAACTTATCTGAATATTACAGCAATATGCAGAGGTAAAGGATAACAGTGACAGGAAAATTAACAGAATGATAGAGAGAGATACCGCAAGTAACCTTGAAACTGCAAAAAAACCTTATTCATGTATACCTGACAACAAATAATCACGCGCACTTCCGAAATAACTCACACGACAAATACCAGTGGAACACATCCGCGCTAATGAAGTGTGCATTCCTATTAAACGCGAGAAAATGCATTTCATCTTGCTTTGATCTACGCAATATTCCTCCTTCAAATCAAACCGATGTAACTTGATTTCCCTATCATAACCTCATTATATGTTCACGATAGTCATTACTGTTTTAGTTTTAGTTTACAAAAGCTTTTGCAACACTTTATGTCATGCAAATTAAGCTAGTTGTTGGTGTACAAAGAGTGAAGGAGTTAACACCAAACACAAATCCGTCATCCAGTGGCAGGGACGGGGGATTTGAAACCGGGACCTCCGGATTGCAAATCCAGCGCTCTAACTACTGGGCACGCCGCGTCCGCAGTAATAGAAAATGTAAGAGCTTTTTATCGGAACAGAACAGACAAAATCCCCGCAATAAGCGGTTGTCCATAGCGCGGGGTTCCCCTGTATTGCTCAGCAATAATGAACATGACGGAAACTGTCACGATTAAGCGCTAATTATATCCACTGAGGGGAATTGGTGAAACATCATCGACATTTGATTGTTTTATGATGACTATATATTCCTTGTCAATTATATCCCGGAAGATTGAACGAGCTTTTTGGAGTAAAAGGACCATTCTACAAGTAGTTTATGCTTGCAAACATTAAAAATGTGCTATGTTCTCTTGGTATGATACGTAAGGGACAAAAGTCCACAAAACATTGGTAATAGATATGCGGTGGTGTCTCTCTAAGTTTTCAAGCTGGATGCCAACGGGCTGGTAAACAGTGATTAATACATACATCGTATCAATATTCCGTAAACTGATAATGCTTCAAAACTTGTAACAGTTCTCATTAACGGTTACGTAATCAGAACATCGATTCAATATTCATTTTACACGGTGTGACTTATCGCGTATTCAGCCGGTTTACGTTTTTTTGGCTCGAATTAAGATGAATATATAGTCATTCAGTTGTTAGATTTTTGTTGTTTTCAGTGACTGCGTGTTGCAAAGTGACACTCATGGCGGTCATCAATGCTTTGTTTTCATTGTCTTCAAAATCCACAAACTCTTGTGATAATCAGAGTTGCTGATATAAAAAAAAAACACAATATTGTTGGGGGATTACGCGTTGCCAGTGGACCGGACATTCTGTTAGATATTTGATTTAACTTCACCTTTAAGGAGAGGAACTCGCGGTTTGTATCATCTCTTCCCTGCTTATCTAGACCCATCTACAAGTTCTTGTCATTACCAGTTGCAAATTGCTGACTGAATCTTTCGTATAGTTTATTCCTGATTTAAAGTGACAATTTTCGCTGCAAATTTTCATGAGAAATGCAGTTCTGAAATTGTCCCAGCCTTAGCTTTTTGGCTCGGCACAAAATTCAGAACAAAAACGAGAGTCGAATCTAGTGAAGGAGAATTAGCACATACGACGAATGACATTTAAAATATTTGTTCACAGTCCGCTTTTAGAACGACACCCACTTATAACACTTAAAGCATTAAGGTATAAAATGTCATCATTGTGGTGTGTTTGTTTGTCTAACAATTGAAGTGCACTTACCAATCTGCCTTCACGAAAAGCGATTGATTTGAGGAGCAAACGATGCGAGTTTGTTCCTGCAAACATACGACTCGATTATTCGTATTAAGAAGGCATAACAACTGGATTAATTTGCATAAAAGCCCAGCATCTGAATATTAATGTAATTTCTCAAAGACAAAAGTATCAGAATCATGAAGGTTGAGACCCAGTCCTCACAACGCGGGGGAATTTAAAAACACAGCAATCACCGGTCATTTTGGATTTGTGTTTGAGGAAAACTCGATCAGGGCAATCACATGATTATCGTGACGCCTTCGTGTTCGAAAAGCTCCGTTTTCAAAAACGTTTCCCCCAGTTTGAAGAGCATTTTCGAAAAGCCTTGTTTTCGTGTCAGATTAGTGCGGACGGTAGGCCTAACCGCAGAAAAAAAGCTGCGTTTTCAAATTTCTCCGGCGTATTGTAGAGCTGCCTCAGCAAGAGAAGATGAGGTGAGATGTACTTGTACTGTTTCAGCAGCTCTCAATTAACTTGAGTGAATTTTCACTAGGGCCCCTATGGATACCAGCCTCGTTGCTGAATGGGCTACCCTGGGCAAATTAAGTTACTTACCTACTTCATACCCTAAGACAGGCCTCTTAGACTCAATCTTGACTTTAAAAATGCTCAAAGTGTCATATTGGAGATAAATTTAACAAACTGACGTCAGTTTTTTATGCGTCTGTCCTCTTATTGGTGATAAATTGTGTCATAACATTGTCAAAGTGGCTGTGGAACCACGAGCCGCAGGCGAGTGGTTCCGCAGTAAACTTTGACATGTTATGACGAAGTTTATTATCAATAAGAGGACAGACGCATAAAAACTGACATCAGTTTGTTTTTTACAATAACAAGACCCCAAAATGGTCAAATGAATAAATGAGGGGAAAAGACGCCGCAAACTTGCCGTAAACAAAGATAAGTGAATTTTATTCAAAACGACGTGAACATTGTGAATAGCTTTTCTCGCTTTTTGATTGACTATTTAAAAAAGTCCATAAAATCTCATTGGTTAAAAAGTTGACAGTTTGACAGCTGAAAGTTGAACTTGAAAGCTTGCATAAATTAAAATTTTATCCGTCTGTACTCTTATTGATGATAAAAATGAGCCAATCAGCGCGCAAAAAATTAGACAGTTATTGTAAAAAACATTACGGAAAGGAGTATAGATTTGGGCTTAGTCCTCTTTCATGTTCGCGGGAAAATGGACAGGTCAGGGACTTGATTGATTGGGCAACCACGTTGTAAACGGTTGTATATGGGTCAAGTTCTGTTACTAGATCATTGACGTAGTTTACTGGTGTTTAGTTTATGTATTAAAAACGGAAAATAAACACAATTACTTTAGACAATGCAAGTCGTTGAACTATAAACATATGTGAATAACTCACACGAGAAGAACTTTTAATCAGTCCACTGTTTAATGGCAGTAAAGTAACCCACGAATATGCCGCTAATATGGGCATGATATGTGTCGTACCCTGCATACCCCTGTAATACCACTCCGGTCCACTCCGTTTCACTGACACTTACCATTGGGGGAGGGTTGGGGTGGTCCATTTTATCCAACTAGAGACCAGACCCACCTCGTCCTAACCCGAAATAAAATAAAGTATGGATGCCAGAGAACATCTGTACAAAGTGCTTGTTATTGGAGAATATGGTGTTGGTAAGTCTTTTTACGATCCTTTGTACTTTTATTGATTCCTCCTGATTGGTTGTGTACTTTTCTTTTGCCAGGGAAGGTAAGCAGGAAGAGTGGTCATTGAGTTACTTCCGTATGAGGTTTTATTCCTCCTTCACTTTCGGTATATTGGTCTTCAATGTTGGTTGTTTATATTTTGAGTGCAAACTCTTTTTTCTTTTTTTTTTGCCCTCGATATTTTATCGTCGAAGACGTCGATTATTCGGAGATACACTGAAGGTAAGTTGAGAAGAGGGCAAGTTTAATTGAACTGTTTGAGGCGATCACAAGTCTTAACTAAAACTCGTGACTTGAAAATACTTGATGTCACTTGATCGATGCTTGCTAGCCGGTTGACCTATATTACTCACTTGATGCAAAGGAACAAACTTTTCATTGACACTGTTTTCATGAATCCAGTCATATGTATCTATTAAATTAATGAAGGAGACTAATTTTTTTTATAAATGTACAGTTCACTAAATGTTTGTTTAATATTATTGTAGTTCAAAAAAGTGGGGCCTCGAAATGAAAAGTTACCTGCGGACAAAGATCTGATGTCTTTCTTCAGGCTCCAAATAAACAGGGTTGATTTTAGGCCAAGGGAAACAAAAATTTATTGCAAAATCAGAGAATTCAAAATAACCTTGTTCAAAGAAGCAGACAGTAAATGTCTAAACAGAAAAAAAAAGAGCAAATTATAGGGGAACCGAGGTTTGATTTCAAAATGAGCGGGAGGTCAACATAGCTGAGTTTGAATTAGTGGGGTCCATATTCTTATCTTTTTTCGGTAAGCTTATATGTTGTGGCTCAATTTTTTTTCCTGGTGTATGGTATTTTTTTATATGTATATGAAACAAAGGAAAATACCTAATAATGATTTTAATACAATTTGCACTAACGATAATGCTTAATCTCAACATGTGTATGTACCGGTATGAGCTCATATGCTCCCTTTCATTAAGTCTAGTTCCCTTTCCCCACTTCCCTATGAACAGTTCACAAGGTACTATCTAGATGGCTTGAGGGCTTAAGTTTCTGCACATCTGCAGCCTTAATCTGTTGTGGACTTTTGGCAGATATGTGTTGCATATATTTGTCTTTACTGTTATTATTATTATTATTATTATTATTATTAATTATTATTATTATTATTATTATTATTATTTGTTAATACTTCACTAGCAGCCACACAGGCAGCTGTGGTCTTCCCTATGTTAAGTCTCCTTCTGTTTCCGTGCTATCTTTCTTGTCTGTTCTAATGGTATATGACTCACTGCTAATTGGTCTCTGGTTACAGTATTTGTTTTATGGAGATTGGTTGTAAAAGGATGGCTTATATTGCAGGCTTCTTCTCACCGAATTACAAGCTCACTATAGGAGTTGATTTTGCTTTGAAAGTCATATACTGGGATGAAATGACAAAGATTAATCTACAGCTTTGGTATGTTGTTTTGATTTTCAATGGGAATTAAGTAATCAGCATTGAACTAATTATCCTGGATACAAACAAACCAAACACTTTAAATACTCTAAATATCTTTTTCTTCAGTTTAGAAAAATCTCTATAATTTTCTCCATTTGTGTGCATTGAATTTCCAAAATTTATCTACCAGTAGCTTTTATTAATTGTTCATGACTGTGTCCCATTCAAAACTAAACTTAGCACTGAGGAAGGGCTAGGCCTGAAACGTCTGCTATAAACATCGTTTTTAATGAGTGTAACTAATGTACGAGCCTGTGAGCCAGAGCCGCGAGCTGGGAGCCTACTTTTGCGAGCCATTGTGTTTTTGTCTCTGATTTTTTTTAAAGTTTTTAATTTAACGTTAACGTTTTACTCACTAAATGCTACACTTGGCTGAAGAATTCTTTCTTGCGTGAAATTCCACTTAAGTAGTTTTTCTGTCTGTATCAAATTTAATTTCATCGAATAGATTTTGAAAGTCAGTTTATATTTTCCGTAAATTTTTGTATCAAAATGTTGATTATGTAAAATAGACTAATATCCAAATATAAACAGGGAAACGTTCAAGTGAGGTAAATTTTAGCTAATTACTGAGATGATATAGCGAGAACATAATTTAATTAAGCACCACCATGAAAGATTCATATATTTTTTCCCTGTAAAAACTAAAATCTTAATTTAAGATTTTTTGTCTTACCTCAGCACTGGAACAAAAGCTGATGTAAGCTGTCAGCTTTTGTTCTGGGGCTGAGGTAAGAAGCAAAATCTTAAATTAAGATTTTAGTTTTTATGGAGTTTTTGCCCTCCAGTTGTCCGTTGTTTTGTCTCTCAGGAAAGCAGGCTTTTAATTGTTTTTTTTCAGTTTCCCGCTAAAATCGAAGGACTGGATGACTGTTTATTTCAAGCAATTGAAAAGTTTGGGGATAAACCCCTCCGCCCGGCCCAGTGAAAGCCAGTACAATTAACTGCACTGAAAAAAATCACAACTCCTTGCAAACTATTTAAAGATTAGCAAAAGTTTACCTCATTTGCAGCTACTAAAATCTGGTAATTCAAAAGCAAGATAGGAAAAATGTCTGTCCTAAAAGATCTGCTTAATTGGTAGAAATTAAAAAAAAGAGAGAAAAACTCTCCGTCACCTCACTTGCCATGCTACAGTGCACCGACACATGAAGACCGCGGGTGTTTTCTTTTATGGCAAAGATTTCTGAAATTTCAGTCAGAGGTCAAATGGAAAGGTCCATTTCGGTGTCTTCCAACCGGAATATTTGGGATGACCTCTGGAGGTGGTCCACTTATTGTGGTTGGACCGGTCCAATGGAATTTGCCGTTCCATTTTTGACAAACCTGTTCACTGCCCTACTTCTCTTCACTTATGTAGGGAATTCGGAAAAGGAATAAAAAATGGTAAGATCGGGATTCCTCTTGGTTGGCCCGGTTTGATAAATTTTGATAAATTTTTCGATCTGATGTTTGGCGTTTGAAAGTGTACTGTAGGCTTGTACAGTATGTCATACCAACTTAGTACTTACTTAGAATATCAAGTGAAGGACTGGTGTAACTCTGTAGTGATAAGAAAAAAATATTGTGGTTAAAAATGGTATTGTAATGTTCAATTTTGTTATCATTTTTCTGTGCTTACTGCAACTTAATCAATTCTAGGTCTGACAAAAATTGATTAAATTAAGGAAACAAATTCTGCACCACTTAGTGCCTTGAATGTTGTTTATTTTTACAGGGATGTTGCTGGTCACGAGAGATTTGGTCACATGACAAGAGTTTATTATAAATATGCGTAAGGTTTTTTCTTTGTTTGTTATAGATTTAAGGAGGAATTTAGTGCTGAAAAATGTTACTTATGAAAATACCCTTTTAGGGGTTTAAAGCTGTATAGTTTACAGGTGAATGTTTCATAAGTGGAACATTGTAAATTAACATGATTATCTTTATTTTTTACATAATGTGTGGTTCCAGAAACTATGATCCATACCTCAGTTCTGCACTAGGAAAAATGTCACATAGAAACCTACTTTCACCCTGAAAATCCCACTATACAATTATACAGTGCAATGCAATGCATATATTAATTAACACTCCCCAGGCAGGACTTTTCAAAGTATGGGCTGATCCCCTTTCCAACCATCAAAGTTTCCGAAACCCCAGAGTCTATATCTCAGATTTGACTGATAGGGTACAACATATATACAGCACTTTTTTTTGATGATTTAATCTTTTTTAAGAATACCAAAAAATTCTAATATTTAGATTCCCTGGAGGGGGTTCTTGTTTATTTCAAGCACGTGTAAGACTTGGTCTTTGTTCCTTGATCAATTAAGTGTCTTATTCAACTGGGGCTTTAAAAGGCCTGGGACGTTAAAAAGATTGGGAACCTTCAAAAAGTGGAGGGTGTTACTAGGGATGGGGACTCATAATTTGAGAGAGGGGGCTTAATGGAATTTAAGGCCCAGTTCAGACGCCAAACTTTTCATGAGCCGAACTTAATTCGAATTTGGACCGACCCAAATTATCAAAAGTACACCTGTTGATTCAGACGTCGAACTTAATTCGTCAAACTTTATTTAGTTTAAACCAAATCACATCGAAGTGTCAGCGATTTTCAGGCAAAGTGAAAACTACTCTTACAATATGTTACAATAATTTATGCATTAGGTTTGGCACATGAGATGTTTGACGTCTGAATCAAAGCTGTTCCAAAGCCGAAATTCCCGGCTGAGCTAGCGAGTTCTTAACTGATTCAGATACCGAACTTTTCATGTACTTAATTCAATGTATTTGGTTCGGCATCTGAACTGGGCCTAACTTGCATTGTTATTAAAACCATTGTTATTTAAAAATACACTCAAAATATTTACTTTTTGTAGAATTGCTGCTATCATTGTTTTTGATTTATCAAGGTAAGAAACATTTTTCTGTTCAGTTATTTAGTAATTATGTCATAATTTTCTTATCCAAGTATATTTCTTACTCAGTAGTCCAGTTTGTTCTAATAAAATAAACTTGATAATACAAAGTCTTTTTTTAAATTTCCAGAAGTTGTTGGGGGAAGGTTTTGGGTGACAGGCAAAAATGGCAGCTGGTTGCAATGAATAACACTTTTCTCTTTTCAACAGACCAGCTACTTTTGAAGCAGTTTTAAAGGTATAAGTTTTCAACAAGTGTTGTTTTTTCTTTGTTATACAAGACGTGCAAATTGATTCCTTGAGGTATAATAGGCCGTGATAAAAATACAAATTTATTCTTGCACGTCCATGTGCATTCGAAGAAAACTTCCATTGTAAGAGAGCTCAGCAAAAAAGGCAAAAACTTTGTAACTTCTCACATACAGGTTTTTTCTGTTTTTTTTTTTGTCAAAATGCAGAAAATCAGGAAATTCAGTGCTCTATGAAAAGAAAAGAGGGGCGGTCACCAACCATTTAAGAGAGTAACAAAACTACAGGACTGTTGAAGTTTTAAACACAACCTGTACTTGATCCTTAACTTTAACTTTCTGTGTGCAGTAAGAGTGCACAGAAACAATGGGCATGAAAAACTTTGAAACTTTGTTATGAGCAAGTGAAAATTTAATTGTTTTTTTTTCCCCTTAAATTAACCACCAGTGGCATTGGGATGTGAATCAAAAAGTGATGCTTACCAATGAGAAGCCAATTCCTGTGCTTTTGCTGGCAAACAAAGTGAGGCATATATAGTGACAATCATTTTGTAATTTAATTGAATAGTACAGTACATTTTTGCATAACATATTGGTAGTCTTCTATTGTTGACTCAGATTGAATGTTGTCTAGATTTTGAAGTTGACCATTGTATTTATGATATGCTACCACCCAAAATTTATTAGCGGGGTTCCATGCACTTTTTCTTTTAGTTTATATGTTCAAGTCTCTGATAAATTGGCTTAATAAATTTGTGGCAATGTTTGCAGTGTGATCTGGAAGAGTATACATATGATGAGAACCAATTGAATCAGTTTTGCCAAGAACATGGATTTATAGGCTGGTAAGAATGTGAACCATATAATTATATAATTAGATTATTTGTTGCAATTATTGACACTGCAGATATCTCGTTAGTGCTGTATAACCAGTTATTTTCCTATAACCTTGTTAGATGTTTCTCTTAGAGAAGGGGAAAATAGGGTGGGCGTAAAAAGGCATCTTGATATAGTTAAGTTATAATCCCCCTTGATAAACCTGGGTGCTTTTGGGGAAAACAATAACAAATATGTTATAAAGTCTTTATAACAAAAGTTATAAAGATGGGCCAATTCTCTGTGCTGTGTCTTGTTCCTAAGTTATTTATGCCGAGATGTCATTTTGCAATTAAATTGTTACGTAATAAAGTTTGAACAGGATGACAAGTATCAGCTGTTCAAGAAATAATATTTGAAGAAGGCTACACTTAAGTATTTATTATTTACAGTTACAGGAGAGTAGCACAGCTCCCAGTGAGTTCAGTTGGTAGGGCACTTCACTGGTATCACAGGGTTTAAATTCCTTTCAAACCTGGTTGTTTTAAGGCTTTATTTTTGCAATGCACCAGTATTGCAGAAGTCATCAGTTTGATTCCTGTTGAAGCCTGATTTTGTCTTTCAGGCTTTTGTTTTGCAAAGTACTTAAGTTGCAAACATAACTGCAATGATTTTTCATCCAGCAAAATTTTACTGCTTCTTGCTGCAGAATACTGGACCTTAAACACTGACCACACAAACCGCAAGGCTAAAGAGCAGACTTTTTTGTTAGTTTTAAATTTTAAATAGTTCTCCAGCTGAAAGGTGAATGCTTGGTTTAATTACTTCTAACCTGTGTGCAAATATCCCCTAAAGATTTCCTTTGTACTAGAATATCAGCCTTATCTTCTTCTGTTTAAATTGCACTATTTAGGTTCCCAACATCAGCTAAAGAAGACAAAAATATAGGCAAGTCATCTGAATTTATTGCTACTAGACTATATAAACAATAGCCTACATTTGGTGTGAAAATATGTCGGGATATTTGACCCCGGGCATTATCTGTTCTGAGAAGTGAACATCTTCCTGAGGGAGAAGTTTAAGAAAACTGTGAGCTTGAAGGAGTGTAAAGGTTATGTCTAAGGACCATCATTTTTTTAAAGTCAAATGGAGGCTGTTGTGTTTATCCTTCCAATTTTGTGGCCTCATGTAGGATCTTTTGAAATTGGGCAACATAACTCAGATATTCTCCAGTTTTAGCTGGGGAATATTCAGTCATGTGACACACTCAGACCAATCGCATGCAAGATAAAATATTTGATGGATTGTAATTACAAAATAATATAAATTAGTTGTCAGACTTGACAGATTTAATTGTCAGTCGTCGTTGTTTACTCTTAATGGTATCAGTGCCCAGCAGTATAAAACGCCTTCGAGATCATCCATTTGGTAGACAGAATAACATCTGGAATTCCTGCCAACCTCTGGGAGAGTAGGCAATATTGTTGTTGTTGATATCTTGTTTCAGATGAATCAATGCGTCTGCTTGTGCAAGCCATCCTCAGTTTATCTGGTGAAAGTGAAAAGCCAGACCTGGAGGACTGTATTGCTCTACAAGGTAGAGCATTACAACCTTCACCTTTGACTTCATCTGCATCAGGTTATATGGTGGACTTTTCAAGCAAGTTTCAGACTGATGAAACTTATTCTCAAGCTGTACCTCAATCTAAACAAAACAAGTGTTGTCCTGGCTAGCTTATTTAATTGCAAGGCACCAGATGGAGGGCTACCATGTTAGCAATGGAGTGCATGGCAAGTACAAAGTACATGAGAGCTGAAGTGTTGCTGACCCTTACCAATGTAAAATATTATTCAGCATGTTATGATAAATCCTCTGACATTCCCTGTCACCCACCTAAGCCCTCCCGTTTAGAGCAAATAATTATCAAGCTTCCCCCCACTTCTCTTCTTTTTGTTCACAACCAAGACATGACTGCAGTACCAATGCGTTTCTTTACTATATCATGCTCAGGCACAAATCCATATACAGTGCTTGCCAGCTTGGGAAATGTTACTTGTCTGCTAAAGGAGAACCCTTAGTTGCACTGAATATACCAGTACCACCTCCATGATCAAAGTGCTCTATAAAACAGATAGTGTTATAAAACTGTTAACTTCACCTACCTGCTTGAAGATATTAGAGAGCTTAAGCAAACCATGACAGCAACAGCAACGAGAACACCACCAAACAAAAGGTCTAATGAGTAGAACAATGGCTGTACACATACGTTATAAAACTTTGTACATTTCTTGGCCGTCCTCTGCACAACAACGACATGAAAGTTCTGTTTTGGTGAATGCAAGTGATGGTGGCTAAGTTTTGGTATTTTCATTTGTAATGGAACACTGGCATTATGTAATAGTTAGCCTGAGCAAGTTCTGAGACCAGTATGCATGCTGAACAGATCTAGACAATTGTGAAACCCAGAGTAAACTATACATTCATTTTTTATTAGGCGTTGTCCTTGGGGTCGCTGTTGTCATTGCTTCAGCTCTCTATTGTCATGTAAGGTGACACTGTTGTAAATTAAGGGTTTAGAGGAGAAGAATGTAGTGCATTGGTTCTGGTTATTCTATTGTCAAAAATTTAAATCTGATTCATAAGCAAAGAATTTTTATAATGTGAGGGAGGATTACTGCTGCTCCCCACTACTCCTGTAATCTAAATGATGTTATTGCCCTCTAGCCAGGCAAATTTGTTTCTCGAAGGGTGAACAATCAGCTTCTTTTTATGGGTCATATTTTAGTTTCTAGTTAGAACAATACAATAACTATTTATGAACCATAAAGCATTTTTTTATAAAAAATCTGAGAATATGACATACATTTTCCACCTAAGATCTTTGCTTTTATCCACATAAGATCTTGAGGAAATTGTCTGTTTTGAATTGAACACGAGTTGACAAAAACAGGGGGGTTTCTAATCCTGCAAGCATCATGCTTTTTATTATAAAATGTGGTTCAACTTTTCCCACAGACAACCATCTATACATTTACTTTATTCTATTTCATGCAAGTCATAAGTCATTCATACCTGTTGATGTCCATTAAAAATCACAACAGTGGAAACCACTTCACAGAGTTATTTCTGTACCTGATATTAGGCTCCACAATGGTGATATACTTAGCCATTTTTGTTGTCATCTTATTCTGCTTTAAGCCTGCTCTCACTGCCATACCCATCAGTGCCTAATCCTTATTGCTGTATGTTAGGTAGAAATTTTAATTTTTTCTAAATGTATTTGTGCAGGTGTTAAATTATGGTTATTTTTATAGACGTTTTTATCATGTCAGTGTTTAGTCAGAAAAAATTGCTTTTTAATATATTTTATCCCTAGAATATTTTCAAAAATAACCTATACACACAAAAATTAAGTTTAACAGTAAAAATGTATAGTTTGTGTCTACATTCAATGATGAATAACAAATAAATTCATGACATTTTTAGACTATTCTGTTGTTCAACATGTCTCACAATGTAATTAAATAAAAACTTCCAGTGTGTAATATATCACAGTGAAATGGACAAAATCTTTTCAAAAGTTGCCACTGGCAACAGCACTAACTTTATTTCATAGTAACTGATTATGGTGCTGCAGACTGTGTTATCACTTCAGTTCTAAACTTAGTCATTCCATATTTATATGATTCCTGGCCGTCTGCATACTTGGGGACCCAGGGGCACTTAGAGAAGGCAAGTGAAAGTCACAGTGGTAGGGGAAAAAAATCGGTGAAGGAATGTTGGAGAGAAAGCAAGGAACCCTTGGGGACAGTGTCTTACCGCACCCGTTTCAAACAGCTCTGTGAATGCTGGCTCCTGATTGGACAGAAAAAATATTGTTTTATTCTACCCAGTCGGTGGGCAGCAGGTCCACAGTCCATTTTGTGTGTACACCTGCAGTGTGTGCAGTGTGTGCGCTTTACCATCCTTTGGGCATCCAATTATTTTCACACAAAAACCAGTAAAGGTTTGTTTGATTGAAAACATGTGGTTCTTCTGACTAAGCAAGTTGAAAGACAACTGAGATGAAACTTTAGTTTGTTTCCTAATACAACACAGCTGGAAGACGTAATATTGATGATTCAACTGTTTTTCTTTTTTTCTTTTGGCTGCCATGATCATTGCTCTTTCATTTTGGGCATTAGATTAAAACAAAACTTGCAAAAGAAGCAGGACAAATATGATAAACAAAGTATATTTTGTATAGGCCTCGTATTAGAACACACAAAATTTACTGTAAACCTGCTGCATGCCAATAAGCAGAATTATTATACATTGTAGTCACCATCTGTCTTCTCATTGGCTAAAAGCCTACAGTTATTTCTGGGGAACAGTGCAACCTACAGATTATTCACTAGTCTGCTAGCAGATTAGTGAATAATCCGTAGGTTGTGTGTGCAATGCATCATTTCCAAGAGCAATGTCAAGTTCATGTAAGAACATGGCTTGTCAAAAATAAACTGTGTTCAGTGGGATAATGCATTGGTTGTTATTTTCTTTAAAACAATGTATAACAAAACAATTATGAGATTCGCTTTTTGTGATAACCAAAATAATCAAGGTCTTGGTTAGTGTTATCAGCCTCAGCCTTCGGCTTCGGCTGATAACACTTACCTCAACCTTGATTATTCTGGATATCACAAAAACCTTATCCAATGATAATATTGTCTATAATACAGTGGATTATTTTCTGCCCCATCAGAAGCCAGTATTCTCAGAGCTGTTTGGAAGTGGTGCAGTTAGACTCCATCCCCAGGGGCTCCTTGTTTTCTCGCTTTCCTTTGCTAATTTTTCTCCACCGTTTCAACTTGTTCCCACTAACTGCCCCTGGGCTGGACCAGAGATTTAGATTAACGCACTTTCTGAGTGGCCCAGTATTCTGAAGTTGCCCCCAAATGTTTATGAAATAGCCAGGTCACAAACTGGCGTACTATCCTGGGCAGTGCATGCTACTGAGTTGTACAAAGTTTATCTGTTAAAAATCCAGTGGACCTTTCAGTGTCAATCAAAGTCCTACGATCAATCTCAACTGTATAAATCTTGACGTTCTTTGCAATGATTGTTCCAACTCATATAGCTTTAAAACATACATTGTACATATTTTTTGACAGTCTTGCTCATAGGATTTTTGAACATTATTTGGGAGGGTCTGGGGCACCAAGAATTCCCTCATTTTGCATAACTTGTACTTCTTGTATTCTTACTCCAACTCTCTGCATGACTTTTAAAAATTTCTCAGTACAATGGACAG